TTGGTTACATTTGCATGTACAGAAAGTTACCTTTTAGCTTTAAAACATACTAAATAGAATTTTAGAAGTTGCCCCAAAAGAGGGAAAATCCTCTGTTGCATGTACAGAAAGTTACCTTTTAGCATTAAAACATACTAAATACGATTTTAAAGGGGGAAAAGGGGGAAAAATCCTCTAAGGTTGTGAAATCTTCTAATTGATGAAGATGATATTTGTATTTTCCAAATATTGACTGTGTTCTGTGAGGATACCTGAAACAGAGTACCTCAACATGGACCACAATCACAGGCGGTTGTGCTGTCTTCCTTCAACCCTTCCAGGCCTTTCCAGGTGTAGCCATAAACCCTCCCCAGGTGTAGCCATGACGTGGATGCTCTTGCACGAGTTAAGAGCTGTTCACATGAGGGCAGCAGAATCATCCTCAAAGCAGGACATCATCTTCTTCAAACAACCCCATTCATTCTGAACAGATGTGCAGCTACGTACACACAACTACAGATATGACACCTTAACTGCTAAGTTAAAACAAATTGCATTTGCTCATAGTACCATTGACCAAGAGCTTAAAAGTGATGGGGATGTGACACTTCAGTGACATGAATTCCTGGAAACCTGAAGAACCACAAACATTTGCAGATAAAAATCTTCATAATATTCTGTTAATTCAGAATAATATTGTTCTGTTGATCACCTCAACTTGCTGACTGTATTTTCAATATGTAATGTATAACTTTTTTTTTTCTTTTTTTAAAGCAGTGGTTTCATTTTACATCATTTGCAAAGCTGGCTGTTGAAGGCTCTGTTGAGGGCCCAGTCTGCTTCCAGAGTAATATTTTTTAGGCCTAAGTGAAGAAAATTAGGCTTACAGTAACATATCTGCAACTTGAAAGGAAACTGCACTGTAAAACATGTACCATACATCTTTTGCAATACAGGCAATGTAAGTAATAATAATAATTAATTTCTTCCTGCAAATTGAGGTTTTTCAGACTTGCAAATAGTGTATTTCCAAAGAGACAGTTAGTTGTTACCTTCAGTTAGAGATATTAGCATTCCAGAAGGTTTATCATGATAGTTTACTGTTAAAGAGGAGGAAAAAATAATAAACTAAACTTGGAAAGTGGTTTACATCACCTAATGAATTATGATATTAACTGCTGTAAATGTGGAAAAGAGGTTAACTATATATCCCAGAGATTCAAAAAACACTACTTAGTGATAAGAACCAAAGAATTACATTTCTTTTTTAGAAGACTGGATTAGTATATTAGGATAGTTTATTATAATCAATAAAAGTCCTTATGATAGAAATGCAACAAAAAAGAAAAAGCTATTCAACACCTGATAAGATGAAAATAGGTTGGTTAAGGGGTTTGTAATTCACAGGAAAAAAAAAAGACTGTAATTACTTTTCCTTAGGATCCTAGGTATATTTTTTAATACCAATACCTTGATTAGATTTCCTGCAAATATTTTCATATATTTTTTAATACCAATACCTTGATTAGATTTCCTGCAAATATTTTCATACTTTTTTTTTCCCTCTTCTCTAAAGGACTCTATGCAGAAGCAGCAGTAGTTTAGCCAAATGCAGAACTGCTTTTTTCCCCCCCTCCAGTTTCGCAACTTCATGTAAAATCCTCTCCCTTTTAAGTTTGGTATTACTTGAACCAAAAACAACTTGTAAACAAACAGTCACACACCAGATATGCACATCTTGAACTTGACAAAACTGCAGCCAAAGAGCTCGCCAACTGGCACACTGCAGACAAAGCAGAAGAACAAACCTCGCTGATCAACACTCAGCACACCCTATTGATTAATGTTAATGATAAAACACAACAATCTGCACTGACAAAAATAAAGCAATTTGTACATCCCATCTGCTTGTGAACCTGCCTCAAGCCTCGTTTTGTATATAAAAGAGCTTGTGCTCATACAAACATGACAAATGCTGTTTTCTAAAACAAGCTCAAGGAACCTACCAAAAAACTCAGCTAACGGCAACCAAGACCATTTGTAGCAGCTCCATTTTCCTAAGCTGATCTCCAGGCCACGAACATGAGCAAGGCCTGTTCAAGAACAGCAGAGCAGGCTTCATGCAAGAGTTAAGTGTCATTGCATTTAACCCTCCAGTCTCCCTTAAAGACAAAAATACACGAAATTCCCTCTCCATGACAGCGCACTCGATCAGTTAGCCACAATGCATACGGTAAAAAGATCAGATTTATGAGGTCAATATTTACCATAAGAAAGGTTCAAAGAAAAATCTAAACAAAAGAGAAGCTCCACTCTATTAAGTTCCGTTTCTTCAGTAACATTTTTATGATTATGTACGAAGTAAACACCAATTTTAACTTTAAATCCTCTCCATAATTGATACATTTCAAAAGCTGCTTTCTTCTAAATATATCAATTGCCCCTGAAAAAAAGTCCAAAATAATACCTTTAAAGACAAATAGTAAATTTATACAATTCAACATTTACAGAAAATATCTGTGGAAAAAAAAAAAAAAAAAAAAAAAAGGCAAACAAGGGAGAGTTAGCTGAAACAATATCATTTTAGCTGCACTGTCATTCAATAGGTTTGCCAGTTTATCACCTAGGCACATCCTAAATCTCCAACTTAACATGAGAGGCCGCCACACTGAGAGGCCAACAACTGTTGTACTAGTCCTGCTATGCAAGAAACGTTTCAGCAGCTACTGGACTCTTTGACCAGCACAGAACCTCATAAAGAACAGAAGTAGATTTTTTTTATAGTCCTATTGCCAGGAAACGTGGAAGGCAGAGGAAGAGACACGATCACATCCTGGACAGAGAAGCAGGATTCATACTGAACAAGCCAGACAAGACTCAGAGCACTGCAACAATACACGTACTCCCATTCCTAATTTACTAATTATTTTGCTACTGTTCCTGGCTATTTTAAAGCTCCGAAGTTCAATACAATTCTGTTTGTTCAAACTAAGGTTCTCCTTCCTTCCAACCTACCAGTTTTGAGGCCTTCTGACACACTTGCCTCCAAATAAAAGAAACAAAAAATCCCATGTATTAACACTATGGTTTTATGGGTAAACCCAAATACGTACTTTTAAGTAACACCCTCTGAACATTGAGAAATTATCTAATACAAATCTTCGTTTTGTTTCCAAAGAAAATGAGACTGTTATTGAATACTTAGTCCTCAAAATCCAACAACAACAAAAACAAAGGCCTGAAAGATGTTAAGTGACTTTTAGCTTTATCAAAACCTGAGGTTGGGTTAGGCTGAGCTCAAAATCAACACCCCATGAACAGAAAGTCAACGAGTTTCACCTAGCATCCCACAGCAGCTAGCGCTAACACACGACTGCCCCTGGGCTTTTAACTTTCCATAATGTTTCTCGACTAGCTAGATTTCCCCAAAAAGGTGATCTGGGACAAAATGTCAGCAGTTACACAGTTCAGAGTTTAGGCAATCAGGAAGGAATGGGAGACGGGACAGGAGATAATGGGATGTGCATGGAAGGCTTCCAGACTCTGCAGTGGAGGGTGCTGTAGACCATATGTGGAACCTGTGCAATGGTGAAGAACACAGCACAAAAGCCTCTAGGAAACCAGGCTTGTTCAGGACTGCCATCCAGGGAACAACTTACTGAAATACAACACTGCCACCCTCTCGGTCTTGTTTCATGGCTATCAGTTTTCCCCCCTTCTCCTGAGACTCTGTTACAAGTAATCACAATGAACAATAACAGGCTGACAAGTTTGCATTGTGCCAGATTCATCTACATGACCCCTTTGGATCCTTCTTACTGTAAAATCAGCTTTCCATTTTTATGGTAATAAGATCATGTTCCATCCTCTTTCATAACGGCATGAACTGAAATGCAATTATTAACTTGAGATGCATTTTGTATCTTAAAATACCTGTTATAAAAGTGACAGGACTAAGGGAAACACACAAGACAGCAAGCAAGTAGTGGCCTTACAGGAAAAGGCCATGTTTGTACTTTGTTTGCATTCTCTTACTTCACAAGGATGTATCCTACATAACATAAAGCAAGAATGTAATTTCCTTCTATATGGCTCTAGTGCATCAGGAATAGCATACTGAGTAAAACACATGAAAAATATATTCAGAATAACATTCAGGTATTAAAGGCCAGAGGGTGCAATGAAAAAGATCAGAAGCTGGAGAAAGTGACTCACAAAAGTTGAATTAAGTCAGCACTAGAATGGTACGAAATGTGCAAGCTATGCATCAACATTCCATAGTTGTTATGAGAATAAAAAGGAATTATTTACAGAAGTATACCTAGGAAAAGGTTAATAAAAATATGAATTGAATAAAATGTTATTCAATAAAAAAACTCTTGAAAACTCTGGAATAAGCTACATGATAACTCTTGATGTGTCTATCATTTTAAGATAACAAAAGTCACATTAGACAACACATACATGAAGGTATTCCAGGTCAAATATGCTTTTGCACTGAGTGGATTAGATTATTTAATAGATCTTTTCCACCCCTGGTCTGTAATGCAGAAATAAACTGCGATATTATTCTGCTGAGAGATTACAGAAAACGAGCACATAAAACTAAAACTTTATATTGTTTGATAAAACAGGAGAAATAATTAGAGGGCTGAAGAAATGCAGTTATAAAATCATTAGACAGACACATAAATAAAAGCAAAGCAAGTCTAAAAAAAAACTGTCTAAAATATTTAATGCAACTTTTCCAGAGGAAGGATGAATCAGTCGGGTTCCAGTCAAAACAGAAATGTGGAATTGCTGCAAGTTGTCCACGCACCAGTATGACGCGCTTCGTCTCATCTAGCTAGAAGTAACGTCATGAAACTGGCACAGGGCTTACCTTAAGGTTAATTCTACATTCCTACAGGCATACCAAGCTCCTGACAGTGATACAGAAAGCTGAGGAGCTTGATGACGCCAGAGGAATGGGCTCGGGTTATTTCAAAAAGCTCCCTGAGGAGTAACTGTGCTTTTCTTACCATCGTACTTTATTGCACGTCTGCGTAGCGCCGAGAGGAGACCCTGCCACCATGGGGACTTGGATGGGGCTATGCTGTTTGTTCATGACAAGGTCCAGCTTTTCTTCCAACGATTTACAGGTCGCCTCTAGGGCCAGCAGCTTGGCCTCGATGCTGTCCAGTCGCAGGCATATTGTCTGGTTAATGGAATACAGGAACGACTAGAAAGGGAAGAGCACAAAAGAAACTGTTTTAAAAGACCTCTGCAACAGCGAGCCCCAGATAAATGCAACCAGAGAACAATTCTAAAGGTACTAGCAAGTACTAGCAACGTGTCTAGTAACAGAATTCATCTGTGTGTAAAACTGATGACATTCTGGAGCATTTCAGCATTCTCAGATTCCTCCAGTCCTTTATTTAGAAGCCAAACCATCCAAGCCAGACACATTTTCACCTAAGCACTTTGTTAGTATGATTTCATAGACCACAAAATAACTTAAAATGACATACCAAAACCTTTCATTTGATATATTTTAAAACAAAAGGATAAGTCCATGAAAGCATCCTGCTGGATGAAGTTAAATAAGATATTTTCATGTCCAAACAGATAAATTCAGATGATTACAGCAGAAATTATATCAACACAAATAATTTCAGGTACATTAAATAACACTCACTGTAGTTTACTTCTGAGCAGCAAATCAAGAAAAGCAAATAAACAAAAGCTGTTTTCCTAAGCATTTTTTTTTTCTTGAAGCAGACATGTAACAATAACAGGCCATTAAAGGATGATGTTGGACACATTCTCCTTTGCAAACAGCAACCATGCCATCTTCTGGCTACTGCAAAAATTTACACACATGGAGCTTTTTACAATCCTGCCGCTCCAGCCCCCTCCTAATACAGAGCTTCCATTTTTGTGACAGTTTCAAGAATACAGGATCTTTCAGGTCATTGATTTTTTTCAAAAGAAAAAAATGTAGAAATAGTGGCATTTAAGCCACAGGAATTAATTTTGAATTAAATTTTATGTTGCATATACAAGTTTGTGTATTGATTTTGTGCTGGAAGATCAAATCATCAGGATTTAAAAGTTTATCCAGAACAACGATCAGACAAATGCTTACAAGAGAAGTAAGAGTAATCCCAGTATTGTGTTTGTTTTGCTTTGTAACATCATTTGCTTTTACTGTTTCTTCCCCAAAAAAGATAATTGAATTGGCATTATGTATAAAAACAGAAAAAGGAATTATCATAACCTTAATTGATGGATCCTGGCAATTAATTTCTATACGCTGACGTTTAAGAGCAGGCTCCACATCTTCATCTGTCACTTCATGATTTTCCAAAACAACTGCAAATAAAAATAATCGTGGTCATAGTCTATAATAAAAGCGGGCAAGGCTCAAAAATACATTAAATGAACACTCTCAAAAGGGTTGTGATATTTTCCTTCAGAAACAATTTCCAATTTTATTGTCATTTCATTGTACAGACAGAAAAGTTAATGTATGAAAAAATATGTTTTACCAGTAAAATAAAGATTCAAAATGGAGGGGTGAAAGGTCTTATTTGAGGGACAGTCTAAAAGAGATAATGTTCTGAACTAAGGCTTGCTGGAGACCCTATTTCAATATAGATTTTTAGAACTGGACTACTGCTAAAAAAAAAAGTATTTTAAAGAAAATTCAAAAAAAATTTGAAAAATACTGAAGACATGCAAGAAAAATTGCTGAAATTTTGTATACAGCTTGGATGAGTCCATCTTGTAGAAGAAAATAATTGCAGCACAGTTTATATTTCTATGAAAAGCACAGCAGTGCTTTCCCCCATTTTAATGGGTCTGTGTGTGCTCTTCCTTACACCCTCCCTGCCGTACCTGGGTTATCTGGATTCAAGTCTTCAACCGCAATCTGAACGACATCTGCCAAATCCTGTTCTGACATCATTCAGAACCAGGCAGCAATATCCAGTCAAGCACCACCGAAGGCCCCCAATTAAGTAATTTTACAAGTCATTCAATCCTGAAAAATAACATCAAGAAGAATGTTAATAAAGGTATATTTGATATATCAGTATCACGTTTATTTTTGATTCTTCTTCTATAAAAGGAGATGCAATTCAGAGGGACTGGTGGTGACAGAGAACAACACTGAATATATTGGACACTGATTCAAACTGAAGATGAATCGGTAGCAACCAAGAGTTGTGACCATGTAAACAAGATTCTAGAAATCAGCTTTGTGAGTTATAAATTGCAATCTAGTTCCTAGCAGAAGTAACATGCAGATGTGACCATCAGGTGCTATTACCTGTATTTGGTACAGCTCTAAAGAGGCAAGGGCAGAACGACCTGTAGCACCCTCTGAGTGACAGTCCTATATTAGGACTAAAACAAGAGTGCATCTTGCCTTGCTCAACCTTCCTGCATTTTCCCAATGGATAAAGAAAGCATTTAGCCTCAGACACTTGGCACCTCAACAGCATAAAAACCAACCAAACCTACAAGAAAACCTCTTTAAACTGATTAAGATTTAAAAATATACAAGAGCATTCCTAAATTGCAGGCTTTTAATTTACAAATCACTTAGTTCTTGGAAGTGATCACACTTCCAAGGCCTGATATTGTATTAGCCTACGAAGCTCCCAAACCACGCTGGCTTTGTAATTACTGCAATCTGTGCAGACCTATATGAACACAAGAACCTTCACATATGAATTTTAACAGGCTTCTAAAATCTTCATAAACATTCTGCGAGTCCAGGGAGTTTTTCTGCAGCTAATTACAACCAGATTTGGAGCAAAATTTAGTATTTTCTCTTGGCTATTGAACCTGCCTGTTTCTTTTTTTCACTACAGCCCAACTCTGATGAACCTATTTTCAGAATATGGTCCTGATCTTAAAGCCAAATATTTCTCAGCCCTGCTCCTTTGGGATTCTCCACCAAGGTTGTTTAGCAGTGCATTAAGAGAAGCCTTCAGCCTGGGAAACGTCATCATAACCACAGGTACCATTCATCACTGTGCGTTCCCATGGTTTACAAAAGGATGGACAGTGAATGGCAAAGATCAGTTTATTTTTCTTTTTTCTAAACCTGAAGAAAAGAGAGAGAGAATTTGAGGTTTACCAATGGAAATGGTAATTCAACCCTTAGCATTGCCACTGAATCCGGTCCAACTCTGCATAAAGATTTTCCTCTTCTTCCACTCGGAGGCAGGAAAATCATTAAACCAGACAGGTGGAGCGCGGAGCTTCGGAGCGCGACGGAGCAGCGCGTTGTGCGGGGCCGCAGGGGGGGGACACCCGCAGCATCGCGGTTGTTTACTCCAAACAACAGCGCTGCCAGCACCGAGTCACTCCAAACTGCTGCTGGTGAAAACTGCTGGGACTTCACGGAGCGCGGCAGCACGCCCAAGAAACCTGGCGACGCGTCAGGGCGTGCGGGTGCCAGTTTGGCAAATTGTATTTGCCATTTCTGAGAAATCCTGGGAGCCGGCCAGTCATAACATAATAAAACAGCTGTGCTGGAGTTACTGTTTCATAATGTCACATACTGTACGCAGCGCTGGAGAACCCTGCCCTCCGCTTGAAGGAAGGCATCCTCCACTCCAAAGACTCTAAAGGAACGAACCAGAACAAAACTTCATTTGAAACTTTGTCTATTTACACAGAGTGAAGCTCCACTCATACTTGGCGTGTTGCATTTTAACCAATTACAGCCACAAATACGCTAGTGTTTCATAAATCACTTCCAAAGGATTTGTAATGCGTTTAAGCTCACTTTAATACTCTGTCTGATTCACATATTAGCCTTCCAAACTTCATTTATTACAACAAGTTATTGAAATGTAGTAAAGTTTTCTCAACACAAATGAAAAATAGTTTCCAACTTCTGACCTATGTCTCCACCTCGAACGTCTTGGGTCACAGCAGGAAGGTATTCAACCATAAAGCAGGAAAAATCCTCAGCTATTCTGTCACAGATGATCTTTAAACGGGGGCCAGGCTACGATCAGCAGAACAGCTATTACACATACGCAGCAATAGGTCTGCAAAACTTCAGTATTTATTTCCATTTAAACAAATTTTATTACCATTTCAGTACGTCGCGCACTGCTCATAGGCCACTAGCCAAGACCAGGACAGAGCACATTGCCAATAAGCAGAACAAAAGAGACTTCTGCTGTCACCAAACTCTGTGAACTCTTGTATCAAAACATAAGGGGAAAAAATATGTACATGCTATTAATGCTAAATGTGTGGATTAAGAAATATGACCAAATGAGGTACAATGGGCATTTCAACTGTAATGGCTGTTGCAATTTAAATAAAATATTCTTCCAATTTGAGAATTTTGTCATAAAAAATTCTTGCAGTGGCCCAACTGTGCTTTCCAAACCACGGGTCAAAGTCCAATAAAAGGTAACAAGTTTGAAGTTAGAATTATATTAGCTTATCATCTTTGAAAAACTTCAGTCAAACCCGGAGCAATAACTTCTACACTAATATTGTATTTGAAGTATTTACCAACACTTCCTCAGGGTAAACATTTAAAAAAAAAAAAAAAAAAAGAAAGAAATTTGCCATATGTTCCTAGCTTTTTTCATTTTTCCCTTTCTTTCTTCTGGATGAAAACCTATTCCTCAGTAATTCTAAATGTATATATATATATACACACACACACACACACAGACACACACACATTGGCATTAAGAAGTCAATGCTGAAATAGTCCTGGCACAAATATTAAACTGAAAGAAGGGAGGGGGAAAAAAAAAATATATCACTATGGACAGAAACTCAGAAAGGCAGGGATAAACTTCATCAGGCAGAGCCAACTTCCATGAAACGTGCCCATTCCTGTTCCCCAGCCAGCGGCTGGATGTTGGATGGACAGCAATATTTTATAGTAAGTTGCCATTATCTGGGAAGGGGGCTTGGGAAGAGAGCGTGCCCCAGACAACGGAAAATCTCTCAGTAACGCACGCGCTACAGGAGGCTTTGGCCGGCCGAGCTCGCCCTGGCTCCTGCCGAGCTAGTGAAGGGGATCTGCGCTGCACTCATCGCTTCTCCTGGAGGGCTTTTTTAAAAGGTTGGATGAGATTCCTTCAACTCCCATCCAAACCAGAGACTGAAAAACAGATTAAGATGTGGCTTTGGACCAGAGGGATTTCCACGCACCTCCATTCCTATTCAGCCCTGCGTCCCTTCAAGCCTCGTTCACGTCTGATGTGTCTGACACCTCCTGTCCCGGGCTGGGGAGTTGCTTGCAGTGCCCTCCTGAGCCAAATCCTGCTCCAGGAGCCTTCCCTAATATGAAACCTCACCCTCAGAGACCCAGTCCCTTTTAGAAAGCAGCAGGCATTAAAATGCTACCAAAAAGACAATGTTTGGTCACAGTGAATACTGGAAATGATCACGCAGAGCAAACACACTGCACTAGCTGCCTTCTTGACGCCCAAAGGAAAAATACGCTTCCAAAATTTGAGAAAGTGGTCCTGAGGTTCCAAAAGAGAACGATCATCAATAAGCAATAGCAGACTTGGCAGTAAATCTTCCAGCAAGTAATACAGCTTATTTCCTCACCCATCAAAAATTAAAAAATATTCCCCTATTTATGCGTGAGTTTAAAATAAGAGCAAAAACTTCTCATTATTCTTTTTATTAACCAGAAAAAAAGTCCAAAAGGACAGCTAAAAAGTGTAGCGCATATCTACTGTTATGAGAAACCCCAGAAGAGAATGCACCCAAGGACATGTTTTTGCTGCTGTCGCTGGAAAATACAGACAAAACAGCAGATGTTCCCAGGGCATCACGAGAGGATATGGACAAAACAGCAAAGACCGGTTGAAGACGAAGCCAAGGACCACCGTATCTTCACAGAACTGGAATGGGGCAGCAGGCCCAGAACAGGGCCCCTGAGCCCAAATGGGGCCACGTATAGAAGCGAGTTCAGGGTCGTCATCGAGGGGACACGGCGAGACGACCACCGGGGGTCTCAAAAGCCACCAGAGACCACCAAAGGGACAGGGGGTGCAGGGGGTGGGCTAGATTGTAATTAGATCCAGGAAATAGGATGAATGTGTATGATTAGGACTAGACTTTAATGCATTGTAGATAATAGAGAAATAAAAGTTTCAGCAAGCGCACCTTAGGTGTGCACGATAGCTGGAGCCATCCCCTGCACACCCAGCGCTGCAATAAAGCCAATCTGCTCCTTAACACTACATCGGTGTTGAGAGGTGCATTCCCGGTTTTTGGTGACACTACAACCACAGCCATGATGCTAGTTCACTCAGAAAAGCTCCTCAGAGGCAAGTAAGGATAAAGAACTTGCAGCAGATCCACATCATGCCCCAAATACATCCGCCAGTGCCCTAACAAGCAATACACCTAACAACTTAATGTACAATTAAAGTGCCCCTTGTCTAATTAAATATATTAACATTTGTAAGCAAGTAAACAAAATTAAATTAAAGCCACCTGAATTCTAAATCAATCGCCACACACAAGTTCAATGCAATTTTATCCATCTACTTTAAAACAATTTGGATCAACTCTTCCGAGTATGCCCATGGTAACAAACCCAAAATATTGAATATCTGATGAGTTTTCAAAAATCCTAGAGCACCAACCCAAAATATATAACCAGAAACATCCAATGCCTTGTTAACATACACAAAGGCACATAAATTCTCTCATACTAATTGGTGAGGAAAACAGTATTTTTAAAACATTTTTCAAAACTCTAGACCATTTAGAGTGTTTACTTGAGCTTCTCTTATTTGAGCAGTTATTTGCTCTCCTGACTAATATTTCTTTGTATTATCTCTCTCTATATATATATTTATTTAAAAAAAGTCTAAAATACTTCAATTTGCAGTAATGACAAAAAAAAGTCTTCTGATGGTGGAAATCTGAAATATTCTATTTTACTTGTCCCAACTCCAGAAAGCTTTTAATATTTTCCCTTTTCATTATTGCACTTTTCCTTTAAACGAACAATTAAGT